TCCGCCGCGCGCCGCCGCCTCCCCGGGCTCCCCCGCGCTGCCGGAGCCCCGCTCGCCCCTCCACTCGGCTCCGCTCCCCAGCCTGAATAAGCATCGGGGCTCGCTGGCTGCCTCCTTCTGCCTTCATACCAGAGCCCGGAGAGGCCCCTGTCAAAATAAGAGCTCCCCCATCTCGCTCGACTCCTCGCCCAACCCGGCTCCCCCAGCCTCCCAGTGGCCTGACTCGGTAAGGCGCCCGGCCGGCTAGCGGGAGGCCGGTCGGCCCGCAGGCGGCGAAGGGGGGGCTTCGGTCTCTCTCTCCTCCCCTTTCCTGAGGACGGGGGGGGGGGGGAGGACGCGCGCCACCAGCATCCCAGGCTAGGGTGTCGTCTGACAAACCTACCTTCCTATCTGCACGGGTTGGAAAGAGTGGGAGATGCCCACACACACATACACTGGGTCCCCCTTCGTTGTATCCACCCATATCCATTATGCACTGTGCATTTCTTTATTCACCTCTCTCTTCTAGCAGACCATGAGATCCTTGAAGACATGCACTGAATTTTTTCATCTCAGTCTTCAGTGGTGGAAAGTGGACGCTAAGAAAATGTTTGTGGAAGTGAAACCTTTGTCTTAAAAAACAAACACTTTCTTCATTTAAAATAAAAAAAGATAAAGCTTCACACATATACATAACACACCCAACATAAATACACCCCATCTGTGGAACGGTAGCTGCATTGAAAAGATTGTAAAGGAAACAAAAAGCATTTCATGCCAGGTGCTGGTGGCTCTGAGGATCACAGTTCAAAGCCAGCCCAGGCAGAAAAATCCTTGAGACTCTCATCTCCAAGTAACTACTCAGAAAAAGCAGTGTGGCTTAAATGGTAGAGTGCTAGCCTTGAGCAAAAAGAAGCTCTGAGGGACAGTGTGCCCAGGCCGCTAGTGCAAGCCCCAGGACTGGCATAAATAAATAGTATTTCATGTTATTTCCATGTTTACCACAAACCTGCAAGAAAAATGTCCCAGCCCCACTGCACAGAGCAGAAAAGTGAGCATTGCATGACCTAAGGGTTTACTCAGGGATACACAGCCAGAAAGTGGCATGGCGAGCCTGGGCTGGGAAGGTGGCTCAGTGGTAGAGTGCTTGTTTTGCATGAGTGAGGCCCTGGGTTTGATTCCTCAGCACCACCCAAGCAGAAAAAACTGGAAGTGGTGCTGTGGCTCACGTGGTAGAGTGCTAGCCTTGAGCTGAAGAACTGAGGGACAGCGCCCAGGCCCAGAGTTCAGGCTCCACAGCCAAAAAAAGAAAAGAAAAGAAAGTGGCAAGCCTGGGAGTACTTATTTCTCTATTGTCCCCACCTGTCTAGAGTTAATACCAGATGACACCCCTGTGCTGGACACTAGCATGCCTAGTTGTTCTTTTGTTTTCTCTGTCCTCTGCTCACAGATGGTCTCCAGATAGCTCTGGCCTCAGCGACCTTTCTCTCTCTCTCTTCTGAACATATGTCACATTTGGGCCACCTATCTGAGTGCTTACTTAGGTATTTCATCTTATTTCTCCTGCATGTATGTCTGGCTGGTCCTGAAACACTCCCAAGGTTGACTCCAGTGCTGGCTGGGTTCATCATAGGACTTCAATGAATATTGACTTGATGGGTTGATGGAGGTAGAGATGGGGGGGGGGAGGAATAGATCCTGACAGAAAATGCCAGCATAATGCCTGCTGCTTCACAGGTCACAAAACACTTGCATGCATATTGTCTTAGACCATGCTTGACTCCAATTACCAGTTGTGCCTACCAGCTTCTGGAGTAAAAATTGTGCTAGGTTGGGAAAGGAATCATCACAGATTAATTAGGTCTTATCCTATTTAATTTATTTATCTGCAGTGCTAGGTTGTTTGTTTGTTTTTGTCCATTGTGGGGCTTGAACTCAGCTTGGGCACTGTCTCTGAGCTTTTTTGCTCAAGGCTAGCACTATAACACTTTGAGCCACAGCTCCACTTCTAATTTTCTGGTGGTTAATTAGAGATAAGAATTTCATGTAGCTAGGCGCTGGTGGCTCATGCCTGTAATCCTAGCTACTCAGGAGGCTGAGATCTGAGGATCATGGTTCAAAGCCAGCCTGGGCAGGAAAGTCCATGACATTCTTATCTCCAATAAACCACTAGAGTACCAGGAGTGGCGCTGTGGTTCAAGTGGTAGAGCTTAGAGTACTAGCCTTGAGCTGAAGAGCTGAGCAACAGTTCCCAAGCCCAAAGTTCAAGCACCACAACCAACACAACAACAACAACAACAAAAAGTCTCATGGGCTTTCCTGCCCAAGCTGGCTTTGAGCCTCAATCATCAGGTCTGAGCCTCCTGAGTAATGCCTGGCAGTATTAGGTTTTGATTGTTGTTATTTTAGTTGTTTTTTGGTGCTGGTGCTGGTGCTTGAACTCAGGACCTTGTGCTTGTTAGGCAAGTGCTCTACCACTTGAGTCACACCTCCACTGCCTTTATCCTCATTAAAGGAAAAGAAAGTAAAGGCCAAACAAGCTGAGTTCAGTCTACTAGAAAGATTCTAGCCCTTGGATGCTACTTGAACCACAGATAGAATGGATCAATATCAAGCAAGGGGCTGGTGGCTCATGCCTGTAATCCTAGCTACTCAGGAGGCTAAGATCTGAGAATCACAATTCAAAGCCAGCCCAGACAGGGGAGTTCTTGAGACTCTTTTTTGTTTGCTTGTTTGAACTCTGGGCCTGGATGCTGCCCCTGAGCTCTTTTGTACAAGGCTAGTGTTCTACCACTGTGAGCCACAGCTCCACTTCTGATTTTTCTGGTGGTTGACTGGAGATAGTCTCACAGGCTTTCCTGAACAGGCTAGTTTCAAACCATGATCCTCAGATTTTTAACCTCTTGAGTAGGTAGGATTACAGGTATGAGCCACCAGCGCTTCTGGCTTGAACGATTCAGGGACAGTGCCTAGGCCCTGAGTTTAAGTTCCAAGACATGCACGTGGTCATGCAGGTGCACACACACACACACACACACACACACACAGAGTCCAATATCTTCTCCCCATGTTCCTACAGTATAACATGGGCCAAAACAGAAAAGGCTGCTTGAGACTGTGTTGCCAAAATAACCAACAAAAAACAAAGCCAGGCTGGAGCTGTGGCTTGCCCGGGCACAAGAGAAAGGCTCTGGGTGCGGGCAAAAATCAAAAAACCAATGTTTGTAACGGTGAGCCGTGGCTGGTTGCAAGGGGTACCCAGTAAAAGTTCACGAGCGCTTGGTCTGTCCCGCGGCCACGCGCAGCGCCCCGTGGGTGGGGCGGTGACTCATCCCGCAGCGAAGCTTCCCGGTCCGGATTCAGAGGTCCGGATTCAGAGCTCGGGGCAGCCACGAGTCCCGGGTGGGAAAGGACGCGGGAGGAGGAGCAGGGGAGGCCCGCGGCTGGCGTCCAGCGGCTCCCCCTGCCGGCGGGCCGCGGAACTGCCGCGCGCCTCCCGCGCTGTGTGTCCCCGTGTCACCAGGGATGTCACAGGTGTGCGGGCCAGGGGTGCTGTGGCGTTTGTCGGGGAAAGTGCTCCCGTGTGCGTGCGTGCGAGTTGGTGTGTCCGCGCCACGCGGGGCTGCTCCTGGAACCTGTTGGCACAATTACATCTCGTAAGGCTTTACTTTGGCGGTGGGGTCTGGGGGGGGCCCGGGGGCTGATGATTGTCTGAGCTGGATCACACACGCAGAAACCGGGATCTAGCCGCCGGTCCTCCTCACTGGCTCGGGTACTGAGCCCCGGGAGGCGGGAGGGGTTCCACCCACCAGCAGCCGCCGCGGCAGCAGCAGGCTGAGGACCCAAGAAAGGGTTAACCCAGCACCCACAGTGACTTCAATCATTGGCTGCGGGCCCTGTCAGTTAGCGTTCCGAGGGCGGGGCTTGCCGGGCCGCAGCCGGATCGCCGGGCGCCCCTCCTTTGCCCCTCGACCCCCCGCATCATTTCCCCGCCGGGCTGCGCCCACGGCCCGCTCTGGGCGGAGACACCTTCCCGGGCCGAGGCGGCGCGGAACCGGGCGTCCTGGCGTCCCCGCTCACCCCGGCGGCCGGGCTTCCTGATGGAGGGTGATTATTATCTAATAGCCTCGCCGCGCCGCCGCGCGCCCGCGCGCCGCACACTCAGCCCCCTCCTCGAAGGCCGCCCCGGAGCCCGCTGTCCGGGCGGGGCGGGAGGCCCCGCGCCCCTCCGCGGTGGGCTGAGGCGGCGGCCCACCGCACGCCGGGCGCCGCGGGCGGGGGTCTCCGGTGGGCCCGGCTTCACGGCGCCCTCCGCGCTCACCGAGTCCCCCGCCCCCACCCTGAACTTGGAACTCGGGAGCCGGCGGAGGTGGGGCTAGGGGGCGCTGGGGCCGGGGTCGGAAAGGGAAAGGACTCGGGAGAAGGTGCGGGGCCGGGAAGCGGGAGGTTGGGAGAGGGGGCCGGGAGGGGGGGGACTCTTATCCTGACAGGGCTCCCGCCTGCCCCGACTGGAGGGTTCGGAAAAACTGAGCCGGCAGCCAAGGCTCGGCTGGGAACCTCGCAGCCCACCCTCCCGGGACACAAAGCTGGAGGGGCGGGGGGCGACCCCGGGGAGCGCGGGCCTCTCGGAG